ATCACCTGTTTGCCTGCTTGATGGGTGTCTAGCTCACCAGAGAATAAACCGAGCTCACTATGATGTAGGTCCTTTACTTGGATCCACATTTCATTGCAGGTGCTGGAAGTAAGGCGTAAAACGTGCGATTTTTTGGCAGCTTCTAGGTCATCAGCACGGTGCCAGGTCACAGCTCCGGGCACACGGAGAGCATCGTTACAGAGGCAAGGCCTCTGGCAGGCAGCGTGTGTGTGTGTGTGTGTGTCTTTGGCTGCGTGAGGTTGCGTGTTGGTTGGTTGGTTGGTTTGGTTTGGTTTGGTTTGGTTTGGTTTGGTTTGGTTGGTTGGTTGGGTGGTTGGTTGGTTGCCTGTTTGATTGGCTGTGTGTGCGGTGTGTTTTATTCCCCCTCGTCCTCTTTGATGGGAAAAGGAGAGCAGCTGGGGGAACTTCGGGTTTTGCCGGACAATATGCTCTTTGCATCAATGACACGCAAGCCTGTTTGTGCCGTCGGCAGGATTCAGCGGCGGCAGAGCTCTTCATGAGCCGCATTGACTCCGCCTCTTGGCTTTTCAAGCATCCTGGAGTGTCTATGCATGAGCTGTGTCTTTCCACAGGCTTCTGGAGCTTTTGTTTAAGGTCTCGAATTGGATTGTCTTGCTTCAATCATGGAAATGATATCTTGGCTAATAGAAACAGTTCTCTTGTGATACTAGCCAGGTGTCGGGAGGAAGATCGGCGGGCGTGGCCATTTCTAGGGTGAGTTTGGCCCCTCTATCTGTGTTTCAATCATTGAACGCGAGTGACTGAACAATCTTGGAGGAGATGTGTCAACCGTGCTGCTGATATTCCATGCCAATGCTTTTAGTCTTTGCACGCTCCTATTGTCAAGATTGAGGTTGGTGTGGCGGCGCTTGTTGCAGTCCCAGCGAGATGAACACGCATTTGTTATCCATGGCTGTGCATGCGGAAAGCAGCTCAGTGTCAGTGATGCAGTCAGCGACCTACTATATTGGCACCTTAGCGTCTCAGCTTGTTGCGCCTTTGCCAAGCCTTTCTGCAGGGTTTCACTTCATCCGTGGACGAAAAGGAGCGTGGGTGAGCTGATGACTCTGTGTTTTTTCAAGCCTAGGCCGGCGTCTACCACAACTGCTCCACCAGATTTGCTGATGGCTTCCGCTATGGCGGGGATGTGTTTGGGTTGAGGACGGCATTCGCAATCTCAAACATCAAGAGGTCAAGTGACAACGGCAAGTGGCAGCGGCATTGGTTTGGCGCATTCAACAAGCTGGGCCCCCCCTTTTTCAACAACCCAGTTTGTTGAAGTAACCATTGCTCACCGAGGCTGAACATGATTCAAACACGTAATAATGCACTGGACGAGTGCAAGAGCACTTTTTCAAACAAATCTGGTGAACATGCGCCAGATCTTTGTGAACGTGTCGAAGTGTTCATCATGAGTAATTAGGACTTCAGCTTAAGCTTAAGTGCCCAGATTCTATGTGTGCAAATACCAATCTCGAAATCGACGAGTTAAATCAGACAAGCAAGACAATCGAGGGAGGACGGTAGGATTTGCTTTGGTTGATTGGCCGATTTAAGACGACATCCCGACATAGTATGCTTGTGCAGCAGCTTGGTTTGAGGCCTTTTCCTCGTTTTTTTTAGCCTGTCGTGCTTTGACTGTGTCGGGCTCGGGGTTAAGTTGATCGTTTCAGATGTCTCTTTGATTGGATTTAGAAGAAAGGATTTGCTCATAGTAAGGAGGGTGGATTTGAGCTAGCTTCCCAAGAGAATCCGGATGTGAAACCATGAGAGACGTTCACAATGCAGCCATCGACTTGATCCCAGAACGCATGTCCTTGATATCTCCATTTGTTCAAAGATGATTCTTGCGTATCTTGACGAGTGATTTTTGTTAGCCAGGTTCGACGGGTTCCTGCTGTGACATGCCAGAAGCTCGCCACTGTAGACTAGCAAACCGCAACAAGGCACGATCTCTCTAGAGGCATCTCCGTTTGTGGGATCGACCCCCTCCTTGGGGCTCCATGTTGATTGGCGGATGTGAGCCATGACGTCATGGTTCCCATCCTTTTGATCGTGGTCTAAGTGTAAGGGCGCACAGGAACATTCCAGTGCATCCACACCCAAGTGGATGTCTTTGTGTTTTCCCTCTCCAAGGTGCAAAGGGTACCCTTCGCGCCACAGCACGTGCCCCCTAACCCCAAAAGGGCCGTGTCGACAGGCTTCGGAGCAGAAGTCGGCATCTCCACCAACAGGACGGGCTGCCACTTTGGTACTGGCAATGCATCCTGTGTCTTTTCGTTGTGAGCCCCCTTTGGGTTGGTTTGAAATAGAGAGCAACATGTTTCAATTCCCATCTCCCTTTTACATATACCCATACATCCTGCGTAGCTTTCGGGACACGTGATCCATTCCCTATACAACCCTGCGTCGTTCCGTCGCCTTACTGTGAACCCTGCAGTCGGCGCTTGTTTGACTAGCAGCCGACATGATATCATGAGCCAGATTATTTTATGGATTGGGGACCCCAGTGGTTGTCCCGCGCCTTGTTTGCGACTTGTTCTATGAGTACAACGTATAGCGGCAGATCAGTATTGCGTATGAATTCGTCTGACATTTTGTACTGAAAGCATTGCCTCAGGTGGTTCATCGAAATTTCAGAGTCAGAAATGGTCACGTGGCACAAGAAGTAGTGGCCTTGCTCAGTTTGCATAGGCCCTCGTTTTGAGAGGCTTCAATCAATGCGAACGGAAGACACGTTTCTCGTTTCGTGTGTGGCATGACTTATTCCTGAGCCTAGGGGAAAAAAACAAACACCTCATGTCAGAGAGCGTGTGCTGTGCATTCTGTTCGGAAGTGCATGGGTATATTCAAAATATGAGATTCCCACAAACGCCGTGTTGTTCTTTGGTGACCCTTTGAACCAAGCCCTAAAAGGGTATCTCCAAGAAGAACGAAATGGACAAATTGACTTCCCGGCCTCTCCAGGATCCACGCCAGAGGGCCTGTGGGCCTTGAGGGTCTGGTGATTCACAAGCATGGGAGCCTGGAGCGACAGGGCGTTGCTCCGGGAGACACTTCCAGCCAGCAGGGCGAGTTATTTTTTGTTTTTGTTTTTTTTGCATGGGTAAGCGGGTCACATTTCTGACAAGAGTTTTGAGCTGACCTAGGGGTGCGAAGAGTTTTGAGCCGACCTAGGGGTCAAACTAGTGCAAGCCACGATGTAGGTCTTGTTGGGGATCCCTTGCTTCAGGTGTTGAAACTGTAAGCAGTTTAGGGCAGTTGCTATTAGGGGGCTGACCAAGTTGAATGGGTTTGTGGATTACGTTGAAACCAAATTGAGTCATAAGAAACTCACCTGGTGATGGTCAACAGCCTACCCGATGTTCTACAAGCATGCTTTTGTTGTTTAAGCTAACCCAGTTTGATTGTTTAAAACAAAACGAGGTTTGTATAAAAACCCAATGGATGTGAATGTTTTCGGGGCTTCCCAAAGGGCAATCAGTCTTCCGAAACCCTCATGTCAGCGTGGTCATAGCTTGAAGATTAAGTGAATGTAAAGACCCGTCGAATGACGTGGACATTTGAAGAACATGCACCAATTCCTTGGGCATGGAGAGGAGTTTTGATATCTAAAAGGGTTCCAGGCTTTACCTGTCCATTTTGGACCCGCAGAATAAGATGTATGACCAAACAAAGCTATTGCTGAATACGTGGCAAAGACGCAGCATCGGTTTCAACCAGGAATTGAGGAAGTGACTATTGAACGGCACAAAGCATTCTCACTCAGAGCAGAGCAACATTCCCGGGAGGTTTTATGCTGGCCATTCAAGGAGGAATAGGTCGTTGTTGTTCATCGATTTGAATTGGATGCAGTACAGCTGAAGGGCTACGAAGCGGCATTGGACTGAGTTTTTACAGGTGCTCATCACCTTATCGTGATTTGGAGAAACCCCTTTGAACACTTCACCTCTCATCAAAGCACACATTGTGGAGTGCGAGGGCCCAAGCTTCCGGATTTCCAAGGTCTATCCTCGCTTAAGGCGCACGCATGATTCCGGCTTCCCTACTGTGGATGGACGGAATTCTTCCCTACTGTGGATGGACGGAATTCTGCACCTAAGAAACCCTGGTTTCTGATGATTCGCCTGTAAATACCAACAAAGACTTGTTTCAACCATGGATTCATTTCGCTTTTAGTGCGGTGCCAGAGGTCGTCCCTCGGTTTTGCTCGTAGCGCGGCACTCGACGGCCTTCGCGGAGGTATCGTCTCTATGGCAACGGCCATACCGCTGCTGGCTTCGCAGGCGAGAAACCTGAGCTCCGAGCTCAGCCGATGCTTGGTGCTTGGATCTTTGATTGGGTTCTCATCAACCAGCAACAAGTTTAACAGTTTATTTATATTCATATTTTTAGTTTTTTGTTGTTGTTTTTTTGTCGGGGAGGGCAATGGGCACCAAGAGATGAGCAAATGATTCCGCAGCATGTCAACTGGAGCTCTCACTGGGCTGCGTGAGAAATGCATTTGCCGCATGGCGGAGGCCCGGTGTACAAGAATCGCTGGCAACAAATGCGATGCTTGCATGGCGTTTTTTATGCCTTAGTTGTGTGCTCTGTCAGTCGAACAAGTTAGAATAGCAGGTCTGCTGGAAACACCCGCGTGCGTGCGTGGTGAAGAAGGGCATGTTTTGAACCTGGTTGCTCCAGTAGATTTTGAGGTATATAAGTGAAGCGCAACAAGAAGGAGTTTCGATCAAGTCCCTTTCGGGCAAACCGCATGCACGCCAACCTCCGACGCTTTGTGCCCCAATTCTTGTGTCTGATACTCACTGATACTCAGGTACAAGTGTCACGAAATGTCTAAGATGATTATATTCGTTGCCCTGCTGCAGTGCACTGTTGTTTTTGCTCTGTTTTTATTATTCTTCTTTTTGCTTGCTTGTTTACTTGTTAACTTGTTTGCGCACTTACTTACATAGTTACTTACCTACTTACTTACCTTCCCTTCCCTTACCTTACCTTGCGTTCCATTAGTTACTTTGCTGGACTAAGCTAGTCAGCTAGCTACTTCCTTGTTAGCTCTATTTGCGTATAGTATTGTTTTGTTGGTTGCCAAGCTGCACAGCATGCGCTCGACTGTAATTGTCTATGCCCTGAGCACTGCGAATTGGTAGATGGGGCAAGGTGTTGTGTGTTGTGCGCGGAACCTGACAATACGGGCCCCAGTCAGGTACGGAAGTGCAACATGTGTGATACAAAACCACAAGACATGAGTTCAAGAAACATAATGCAGATACTTTCAGAACAACCATAGCAAGAGCAAGAACATGCAGGACAAGATGCATCCGATTTGCAGGCCTTCGGCTCAGGATTCTGGCAATCAGCATCACCAACTGCTGGGGAGGGCCGTATCCAGAAAGAACTGGCTGTTTGCATTAGCAAAACTGACGAGTGACAAATGAGGTTCAAGCAGATTCAATCGCACGCTTCAAACTGGCTTCACACCAATGATGCTGGGGTTGTGGTTGCTCTGTGTATGTACACCCGGAAATTCAAAGGAGGATTTGAAGATCCAGAGCCTCTGCCTGGCCATCCTAAGCACAACATGCGGAACAAAGACGAGCGAAAGCTGCGAAACGCGAGTTTGACCAGCTAAAATTTTGCAAAATGCAGATGTGAGCGAGCTTGATGATGTTGGGACAAATTGGCCGAAGGTTGTTCTCAGCAAGATCGAGAGAAAAACTGGAAAATGCGGGTGTTTGTCAGCTTTGATCCTAAAAGCAGGCCCCGAAAGCCTTCAGCTTGGACAAGGATTCCGGAGGAAGACCTCCACTCCAGACCTAAGCTGCTGCCATCTACACTTGTTTAAAGCAAAGACTACTGGTTGGCCTTGCCCTAATTAGATGGTGTGAAACCTATTCTACGGGTTGACTGCTTGTAGGCTGTGGGCATGTTACCGTACCATGTGTTGATTCAAGCAGTCACTGAATTGCCTTCGGGAGCAGGAGTCCGGGAAGCGCAAGCAGGCCCCAGCTACTTGTAGTGCCTGCGACTTGAAGCCAGTATCCTTGTTGAGCGTTGAAATTAGGCTGCCAGCGGCTTGTGGTCTGCGGGAATGTGTGAAGGGATGTTTGTGTTTGAGCAAGTGCAGGTGGAGAGTTTCGCGAGTACACCTTGAGATGGACAACATGTTGTGTTGCACTCCCGGCATGTGTTTTTTTTGTAAGAGCAAGGACTAAACGTAGAATACAGTGTGTACGCATTGCGTCAAGCTGGCTGTGCATCTCTATCATTTCATCATTTTAACAACCCGTAATGAAAGGGCCCGTGTCATGTGACATTTGCACCGGCAATTTGATCTGTGCAATCCTTTTTGTGTATGCAGAGCGTGTGCGAAGCGCTTCGCGATTTTGGCTGTGCCCACATTTGGACAGCCTGCTTGAAACATGAATCGTCGGCCCCAGATGTTGATGCAAAGTGTCACTTGTGTGCTATATCCAAGTGATAGCCATTCAACAAAAGTCCAAGTGGGTAGCTTGTAATCTTTGTTTCACCATTGGACAACCAAATGCATGTTTTGCAAATGCATCCACGGATATTTGCGCACGGCTTTTTGAAGTGCCGCCGGTCTCGGGAATATATCGTCAAACACCCGCTGACCGGAGTTGACCAAGAGATCCGACACTCTCACATCAGGTGAGGAGATGATAGGTTGGAGACCTGGTGGCTCAAATGTTCCTATCCCCGAGCCCATGCTTCGGCTTGCTGAGGCACCAATTTTTGCACAAGCGCATTCAGGGAGCCTGGGCCTTATCTGAAGCGCGAGGTTGCCGCAGCCTGTTGTTGGCCCTGTACCCTCTTGCTCAACAATCATGGAAATTGACAGGAGGGGTTTGGAAGACTACGGTCCTGTTGAAAGCGCCCTTTAGGCACTGGAGCTCAAGGAAGTCATGCAACGCTTCAGGGCACCAGCTGCCCGAGACGAACACATCAATGAATTTGCCCGAGCGCAGTCAGATCTGCAGTTGAGTGTAGACTGGGCAACGTAAAAGCCGGAACCCAGTCAAACTCAAACTGGGAGGCATGTTGTCAGGTTCCGAACAGCGGGGTCCCGTGTGAAAAGCCCTGGTGACAGCCTTTACAGAGGCTTCCAAAAAGGTGCCATGCTTTTGACAGCTTGACATGAGGTCAGTGAACATATCCAGCAAGGTCCACTTGGGAGGGACATGGGACGAACCCTCATTCTCCCGTCAGGGTGACCGCCAGAGAGCTAGCATGGGTTCTACAACCCCCAAACCACTACCAGGGGAAATCTGGGATTACAGTACCTATATAATGGCTCTATCCCATTAAACCTCAGGGTAACGGATGCCTAGAAAACCGTCTAAGTAACCGTGGCTATCCGCTGTGAGGTGGCAAGTGTTGCGGACATCCCGCAGGCAAAGGTCGCCAGGCGGTGAACGATCTCAGGAGCGGAGCGGAGTCGGAGACTATCGAGGTCAACCCGGGTGCATTGTAGGCTTTGCTTGAACAAGTGTATGGCCTGCCAAAGAGTGTGGGGTTGACGGTATATCAACCTTGTCCCAAAAAAGGTGCCAAAAGAACCACCCGCTTAAAGTAGTCGCATTTGGAGGGGGTCGTCTCCAAAGTATTTTTTGGGGGGTGTTTCCCGACTTGATTTGTGGGGCTGCCTTTGTTTGACATTGAAGATGGGGCCGAGCAGTCTGATGTCGTCAGGGGGCAGCACAACAGTGCGACTAGTGACCGTGTTAGGCCAGGTGAACCCGTAGAGCGGCCATTAAAAGGTTCCCTTTGAGGATGTGGCATTCAACAGCTTTTTCCGTCCAAAATCCCAGGTGCGAAAGGCAGTTGTGACCCGGGTGGCAGCTCGCTGTAGCGACCTCTTGGGGCCATTTCGGCATGCTGAGCTGCTTTCTAACAATGAAGTGGAAATTGGGCATTTTGAGGTAGCGTGTCAGACTCGGGTATGTTGAAGTGCAATGTCAAATTTGGGCGGTTATCAGGCGCAATGCTGTCAACAGTTAAAAATATTGTTGCAGGCGTGACGATATCAGTTTGCACAATCGTGCCAAGTTTGGCTTCCAAGCAGGTGTAGCTGATGTTTCTTCAGGCATCGACGCTTCTTCAATGGTGTTTTCCACACCCGGCACCAGTTTTGCAGTGACTTGGGCCATGATTGCACGCGTTTGTGATGTTCAGCGAGAACCAAGCATTAGCTTCAACCAGCACAGAGGGAATCCACCTTGTGACCTTTTAGTTTCCCTTTTTTCGTCCATTTTTAGTTGCCCTAAAGGTAAACAGTGTAGTTCCACAAGTCTTTTGGGCAACTGAGAAACCTATCACGTGTGGACATGGATATACTCTGGAAATACTCGCCTCGTCGCCGTTGCGTTCGCTTTGTCGATACGTTGTGATAGGCTGCTTTGACAAACCGTGTGTTCTATATTTTTGCTGAGCTCGTTGATGGATGCGCAGTGTTGCAGGGCGTGCATGCGCGAAGCCTGACGCACACCCAGAACGTTGCAACTCGCAGACTTACCCTTTTGCCAACGACCATCGAAGTGAACAGGATGGTGTTTTAATACCTCTATCCTTTTGAACAGTCGTCTTGCTCAGCTTCATGTTGATGGAAAAGGGGGAATCATGCTCTGCAGGTTGAACACATTTGTCCCCCGCGTTATGAGCGCCGGCCACTGTACAGCGGGCCTGAGATGATGACTTTTGCCAGCACCGGGTCAGGGATACTTCATGATGGCGATTGCAGCATGCCTTTCGCAGGATGTCCAACTGGTGAAAGTGTGTTTGGCTTAGTTGGTGTCTTTCTGATGTGGGCTTGTTGCCCTTCTTGTATCAGCTATAGCTGTACAACATTATGTTCCGGGGTTATTCGATGGGGTTAAGCGACAGATATATCATATCCGTTCGTGTAATCTCCTGAAAAAGCTGCAAGCATCGTCACCAGCATGTACATCGCATGTTACATGTGGCCCATCAAGCGGGCATAGCCAGTTTAGAATGACCGTTCTCAGGCATCTTGATCAGCAAGCACCACAAACTAGAATTGCGCACATGTCTTTCACATTTCAGGACCTTTGCGTGAAATATTACTTGCAAACTGCCATTGACATCATTGGCATGCTAGACCTTATATGAGTGGCGGTTGGCTTCTCTCAGGACTCAGGACTGACCAGGTTTCATTCCAAAAGATAAAGTTCCAGAAGCACCCATGCTTATTTTTTCCATGGCCACTGGGGGTCTGGGGAGATAGCCCAGCATTTATGCGGCTGTGCGGCCGTCACCTGATTCGATGCTTGGGCTTTGGGCATCTCGCAATACCAAGTAGACGCCGAGGAGCGCACGTTTCACCATTTTTCAGGACAGGGACGTGGGTGTGATCCAAAGCACCGAACCCAATCAGCTAACCTAAGCGAACCCACGCCTATAGAATGCTTATCTCCATATTGAAAATTCCAAGGTTTGAGACGTTTGTCTCACATATCGAGGTGCAAGATCACAACCGTCAACGGTAAATTACTCCGTATGGCTTCGTCAATAGCGGCGTAAAGGCAAGAGAGCAAGCGACTGCCATGCTGGTGTTTGTGTGTGTGCGTGTGTTTTGAGGGTACTGTATACTTTTCAGCTTGACTTGAAGGAAAACCAAGCGGAAATTCGGAAAGCCACCATTTGTTGGGTCCGCTTATTTTGCCACATACCCGTGTGCACAGAAGCATCAGATCGATTCAGTGACTTACTACATGAAAAACTGGGGTTGGACAAAGGTGGACCAACTTGCTTGGTAAGTTTATTTTCTTCTCGAACGTACCCTGCCGTGGTGTACAGGGCGCTGCTAGAATCTGAAAAAACTGGGAGTTTGCTAGAGGCACGTTGCCTGAGCATGCTTAGCTGCTTCCAGTACTGGCATTGGACTCGACACACGGACTTGCTCATTGGCAAGTATCTTCTTTGCACATCAGTTTAGTCAAATATTTGCAAGATTGCCCAAGCCTTAAAGCAGCTCATGGTGCATGTGAGATGACACACGAGCCAACCGCTGGAAGAGTTGGCTGTGATATGTGCTGATCATCGGCCCATCTCAATTGAGACGGTTGAGATTGTTTTCCGGGTATCTTTAAGGTGAGGTGGGGATAAAGGTATGACAAAACCAGAACAGGCACCAACAACGAGCAATGTGGCATGATGGATGCCTACAGCACTTTCTATGGATGATATTTGATGCGAAGGTAGCCTAAGTCGTGACAAAAGATGCCATTTGGCCTGCGCTATTGGGGCACTCATCACATCAAGCTGCCTCGCATTGCCAAGACGTGTCTCTATTGGTTACTGGGACAGAGCTTTGGCTCTTTGCTCATCAGGAAAGCTCTAGATGACTTTGATGGCTGGAAACATGAACAGAGACACACACACAGGCACACAAACATACAGACACACCCATATATACACATTGTACGACATGATTGGTCAGCACATCAACCCGTGCGCCGCCCTTTGCTGCAGCCATTTGGCCCGTGTTCACTTTCGACAGAGGTGCAAATATTGATCCTGGAAGACAGATAGCAAATAGCAGCAAGAGCGTCGCATATAGAGTTTTAAGTATTTGCCAAGCACATATTGATACAGGTTTGAGATCATTGAGCCCTGATGGGTAAAGCTTGTGACCCCAATTGGCAACTGCGCATGAACATTCAGAAGATTATGTCTTTTCCAGCAAACCCCCAAAATAGTGCCTTTTCTTTTGGGTTCCCTTTAAAGCATGGGGTACCCTGAAAAAAACACACGCAGAAGACAAATCTTTGCTTGCCAATCCTCCAACTGATTGCCGGTGTTGACTCGCATAGAGCCTTTCTCAGGTATCGACCGAAGAACAGGCTTCCAATTGCCAATGGATCCGCTCACGGCGCTGAAGGGGAAGAAGAGTGAGGCAGCGGTGTGCTCAAAGATTCGCTGGGGGCATATACAACCCACTTTAAATATTCCTTTTCGTCAGACAGGATTTGCCCCATGTGAAGGCTCGGTGGCTTTACACCTGAGAAGGACCTATGTGTGGCATGTGTTGTTTGCCCGGTTCACATCACGTAGTTCTGCTATCTTGTTGGGTCATCCAAAGAATCCCGGCCAATGCCATGACACCAGCGAGCTCGCAGAGAGCAGATTCGACTATTGATCCAAAGTCTTCTTGCCTCCTTTTGCGAGGGGTGGGAGTATGCCAGCGCATCCCCAGATGGGTGTGGCTCAAAATTAACAACGAGCGGTTACGCAAGTTTTGGTCCATGTTTCCACTTACCAGGGTTCCATTTTGGTACGTTTTTTTTAGCAACAGCCAGATGGGTATCTGGAGGGGTTTGGATTCCCCTAAAGTGGGGTGTCCTATTGAAAAACTTGCTGCCATGCCAGGCAAAGGCAGCGCCAGCGACGGCAGCGCCGGCGCCCAGGCTCGGTGCCCTCTTTGGGCGGGTTTGTCAAGGGAACCCAAAAGGAAAGCAACCAATTTGAGGCGACCCGATTTTGAGAAGCGCCCATTTTGCCAGCAGTTTGGGGTATTGGATTTCGGCTTCCATGGAGAAGGCCGAACCTCCCCAACTTCATTCCCCAAGCCCCTTGTAATTCCCTGCCAAGGGAGATTCCCCTTGAAAGTGACAACGTAGTCATAGAGATGGCCCACTTGGTGGATGGATGGCTGGCTGGCTGGTTGGCTGGCTGGAAGGCTGCCTGGCTGGCTGGATGGATGGACGGACGGACGGACGGACGGATGGATGGATGGATTATGGATTTTGGATGGAATGGAATGGAATGGATGGCTGGCTGGATGGATGGATGGGTGGCTGGCTGCCTGCCTGGCTGGCTGCCTGCCTGCCTGGCTGGATGGATTATGGATGGATTACGGATTGATGGATGGATGATGGATGGATGGATGGACGGACGGACGGACGGACGGACGGATGGATTATGGATTTTGGATGGAATGGAATGGAATGGATGGATGGCTGGCTGGATGGATGGGTGGCTGGCTGGCTGCCTGCCTGGCTGGCTGCCTGCCTGCCTGGCTGGATGGATTATGGATGGATTACGGATTGATGGATGGATGATGGATGGATGGATGGACGGACGGACGGACGGACGGACGGATGGATTATGGATTTTGGATGGAATGGAATGGAATGGATGGATGGCTGGCTGGATGGATGGGTGGCTGGCTGGCTGCCTGCCTGGCTGGCTGCCTGCCTGCCTGGCTGGATGGATTATGGATGGATTACGGATTGATGGATGGATGATGGATGGATGGATGGACGGACGGACGGACGGACGGACGGATGGATTATGGATTTTGGATGGAATGGAATGGAATGGATGGCTGGCTGGCTGGATGGATGGGTGGCTGGCTGGCTGCCTGGCTGGCTGGCTGGCTGCCTGCCTGGCTGGC